TTTCCAGGCTCACTGCCACTACATCACAGTGAAAAACTTCACAGAAACTGTGGAAAAGCTCGAGACCAAGGCTGGCATCCAGAAGATTATGAAACATCTTTGTGACCTCTTTGCATTACACGGGATCTTCTCGAATGCAGGAGTCTTCTTGCATGATGGATACATATCTGGTGCTCAAATGGACATGGTCACAGCATCATACCTGGACCTCCTGGCTGTCATCCGGTGAGTTGCTCTAGCATGACAGGGGATACACAGCTATTCAGTTTGTCCCTGTGATAGATATAAAATGGTGCTGCTGTACCTACGGCAACATCTCCAAAGTCAATTCACCTCATTCGGTTTTTATTTTCATTGCCTGCCAGCACTAGAAATCGATTGAAACATCTACACAGAGCTCATTTTCACAGCAAAACAGACCTAAGTGTCCAGCTCCTCTGCAATCTCTAAATTAAAGTTCTGTGACATGAAATCTTAAACCATAAATCAAAAAATCCTGAACACTTTCTACCATTTGTAGTAGAGCAAAAGCAGGAAAATACATAGTCAGGGCAGCACTGGCAGGAGGCAGCCACAGCAACCGATCATACGCTGCAAAATCTGCTCAAGCCACAGCTAATACAGCCTACTCTGTTGCCATGGCTGAGTTGCAACTGGTACCCAAACAATCCTGCCTACAGCTAGCTCAGATGCATCTGCTCGATACCATTTATTACTAACTATGTGAATTCTGAGATATGCTAAGGTTTTAACTTACCACAACACTCACAAAGGCTTCTTGACAAAGGGTTCATCTTTCAATACGCAGTGCTGTTTGTTAAGAACAGATTAACTTACGCTGCAGAGAAGTGAGTTGCTACTGTATGTCAAATTCTACTTAAGCCACCTGGAAAGAAACAAGAATACACCATAACCAAGAACCGAACAGGACTGAGCCAAACAGCGAGCATTTTCAGAACTGATCACAGAATTCAAGTGAAGCAATAAGCTTAACATTTTCAAAGGTCTAATACACTGTTGTCTCCAAAATTCATTGCAACTTCTCCATATTAGTTCATGTCTTGTTAAGAGGATTCAAGAACGGAGTGGGTATTTACCTGGATAATTAAAGTCAGTTACTTACATTCAGTAGAAAAGATACAAATACTTACCAGCCTGCAGCAAAAAGCCCAGCCTTTCCCAAATCCCCAGACAGCCCTTCCTCAAAAGGAGCTGGCAGGTGCAAATGGCAATGTTTGAGCAAAGCACATTGCATTCCTGTACCTCAGGTGTGAGGTACAGCCAGCATGACTTCCTACACCCAGGACAATGGAAGGATGAGCAAAAAGAAACCATCTCTTGCTTAGGAGAAGATGCTGTTGTTACATACTCATCCTTATGCTCTAGCTGTCTGTGGCTGACTGCTGTCAGGTTGGCCCCTGGGCTAGATGGGCCCTTGGTGCAGTTCAGGGCTGCTTTGTTCTTACAGATACAAAGAAAGTAGAAGACCTTGACACTCCATGATGAGATAATAGAAATATTTAAGAGTGGATGAAGGCTGGAGATAGCAAAGCACTTCACATCAATCTAGTAGCAACCTTATTCCATTTGTGCAAGACAAACATAAGAAAACAAACAAAACATAAGAAAAATAAAACAAAACAACAAAAAACAAAAGCAAGACCTGGCAGAGTCTGCTGAGAAAACATCTGACATGAGATTGAGTCTTAAATCAGGGAAATAGGGATGGAGCCTGGGTGATTACAAGACCCTGCAAACATCCATTCAACAGTACCGGCAGCTCAGAGCATTAGCACAAGATGCCTCTAAGGAATCAAAACAAGCAGGATTTTTCCCACAGTGTAGGCAAGGAGAAAAACTGGCACAAGCTTTTTAGGCTGAGGAACCTGGACAACTGACTTGCAAGTTTATCTTTGACTTACTTTCTTCCCTTGCAAAGCAATACCCGCTTCAGTAACATGAATATCATTCATCTGCTCTGTAGGAAGGACGCTGTTCCACTGGTGGACGCTTTTGACTTCACAGATAAGAATTTAAATTCTGCGCTTGGCAGTTATGATGGACAGGTTTACCAGCGGCTTTATGAGTGGGCTCAGAAGTCACCGACCAACAAGCAGGTATGGATGCAGGGTTACAGCCGAGCAACTTCTGCATTAGCCAGAGCAGAAATCATTTGCTTTTCTTTTAATAAAAGCAATACACACAAAAATAAGTGGTATATGGGCTTTTAATTCTTAGTTTCTCACTCTGAACAATGACCTGTGATGCTCCAATTATGCCACCTATAGTCTTAGCTCAGACATTTTACCTAACGATGAATTACAGCTTCCAGAGTACTAGAGCTTGTACCAGGGAGTTGGGCTGTCACGTGCCACCAGTGTGGTTTTGGTTTTCAAAATTGTATCACTGAGGTAACATTGTATAAAATAAGCTAAAACAAAAGCCTGTTTACATAGTTTACGTATTATGGAACAACACTAGATGGCTACAAAAGCCACTAAATGCCCGGTCTCCTCCATACACTGGTACTTTTACTAGTGCAATACTTAATTTTTTTTAATAAGATGTTTAACCAGAAAGAGTATAAATGTTAAACAAGGCAATTTCATCCTTCACGGTCTTTAGCACTTTGCTTTCACTTCTTAAATCATCCATATTGTGGAGTAATGTAAAATTCTGCACGATGTAAATAGCTATTGCTCTGTTTGAAAACTCATTTTGCCTTAAGTAAGATTTTTACTGTGGTAATCAGCAACCCCTTGAAATTCTACAGCTGAACACAAAATTTGCCTTCAGCAAACATTCAAGTCCAAGCATATTTTTTGAAGTTAAATAGTACGTTGTCCCATTTGGGATGAGTATTGTGTGCTGGTTATGAAGGACAGCACATGCTCTCAGGAAAGAGATCTTGCACATAGCTGAAGTAGCTGGTGGTTTGTTTGATTTTTGTTTGGTTTGGTTTTTTAAATAGTCTAGCTTTCTATATTTCAGAGATCATTCTTAAGAAAAAATTATAGCCTTTTCCTTCTCTTAATTATCGTTAATTCCTTTCCACATTCTCGTTCTGAACAGATGAGCCCAGCCTACGAGAAGTATTTGAAGCCACTTCTTCACAATACGCTATCAAAATTATAAAGACCATGATCTAAGTGAAGGCCTCGCATTTCCTCCTGTTCTTTGTGCAGCAGTAATTTATGAAGCATCAGTAATGACTAATCAGAATTAATAATCAGTTGCTTACTTGCAGTTGCAAGTATGAAACAAGATTCTTAGCCAGACATTTACATTTAATCAGACAGAAGCCAAACGATGCTAAGTGGTACCCACCGCTATGAGGCAATCTAGTCAGAAATAGTCTAGAGTTCGCAGTTTTCTAACCTGAAGTGTCCTGATAGCATCAAAACTATGCCATTTGGCTTTCTTATTCTTTTTCTAAATCCACTATATGACAACTAAGGGAAAAAAACAACTAAAACAAACCCACATTATGAGCTCCCCCTCAGTGTGTTAGAACTGTACAGTGCCTTAAAAAGAGAAAAAAAAAAAAACACAAACACAACACACCACACAAAAAAACCCAAACAAAACAATTTCACTGAAAAATTCAAGGAAGGTAAAATTATGGTCCTTGGTTTCTAGAAACAATTTGTTCTCTTAGATCAAACAGTATATTAGAAAGTACATCTGTTTGGACAATTAAAATAGCTCTTAACTTGCTCAACAGTGGAATACTCCTGGCTAACGAAGATTCAGACAAGGCTGATGCCAACCCCAGTCTGCAGAATTTACTTTCCCATTAATAGGGCCGCTCAGACTGTCTTTCTATAAATCTCGGGCTCCAATAAAGTGTATTATTTGGAATACTGCTTCTCTAATTATTATACTTCATAATTACAGAAAGGGCAGGCTGATCCAGGGCAGTCATTAATTTGCTAGTAAATGAAGTGTTGCAAAGAACATCTTGTGATTATAATTCAATGCCAGTTAACACAGATATTTCTTACCACATGTTGCAGGAAAGAAACAACCGCTTTTCCTGAGCTTCATCAGTTCAGCTTTTCTTTCCCTCCTTATAGGAAGAATAAAGCTCTTACTCCTCTCATGACAAAAGTCAAAACCCTGCAATGTATGAAGAGGGGGAGACAAAATATGACAGAGAAATACACCCCTGACACAGGCCATTTGCATGAGAGATGGGATGGAAAGCTCCCGTCTTCAAGAACCACCAACTACCATAGAAATCCAGACCCCCTCTTACATCCCCAAAGAGCTGTGGTCTGCACAGCGCAGAGAGCAAAGCAGTTGTGGTAAGGAACACTTGTGACAAGAACTTCATGGGAGAATGGGATCCATTCATCAAAATGGAGATCAATTCCCTTACTCACAACAGTATTCAAGTTAAAGCATAACCAGAAATTCTATTAATAACTATGACAAAGTGCCCAAGATAAGCAGAAATGGCTACACGAAATTGAGTGAAAACACAGAATTTGAGTGCCTTGACTTGAACATCATCAGAAACAGCACTCTACAGTTTATATATATAAAGTCACTAGATAAATCGCTGGCAAACCAGATAACACAACTTAGTGGCTACAAGTATTTAGGCTCTATGTTCCCTCCATCCCTGTCCCTTTAGCCAGTACAAAAACTTGCCATCTTTCTGTTAGTCATAATGCAGTTTTCAAAACACAAGCTTTTTCTATAATGACGACAGTTGAATCAACTGATTAATATAAAAAAGGAAGAAAGTACCTCAGTAATGGAGGAGAACGGAGCCCTACCAGAGCATCTGAACTACTCTGCAGCACAGGAAAACAGGGTTTGGGTGGGTTTTTTTGTTTGGATGGTTTTGGTTTTTTAAGTATTAGAGTTCTAGAAGACAAAAAGAAAATACAAAACAGTATTCTGTATTTCACATTTTTATTAGCTTCTTGCTGGCAGGCATTACACTTGGGAATAATATTGCACCAGGCATTAAAAATATGAATTCTACCACAGGGACATTTTGCATTTAGAATCCAATATAAATACTTCTAATCATATTTCCATGGCTACAGATAATATTTGGTTGCTTGATTTATATGCATAGAAAGAAACAGTTGTCATAACTGTAAGAAACTGTACTTATCAAGTACTTTTAAAGGGTGGGATTTGTTTTCCTAGAATATTAGAACACTGTTTATTGATTTAGAAACTAAATTAGTCTACATGATAGCAGCTTTTCCCCAACTGCATTTTAAATTCTTTTTGTTTCTTGCTCCCAGTGTCGTAGCATTAGATGGATTAGAAACCATTTAAACAGAGGTAATTTTAGCACTTTAAGTTGCGTCAGAAAATTGTGTTAATGACACAAAATACCCTATTGTACTAATTCTTCGGACTCCCTCTTTCAAACAAAAAGGTGTCTTGACTGAACAGGCACATGCACGGTCTTTTTCTGAACAGGACAAAAGGACAGAGCTGCTAGAGAACGAAACTCCTCCAGCCCTTACTGATAAACAATAAATAGTCATATAAAAAAAAAAAGCCCACATTGTTGCTTTAGTCAAAATCCAGACTCTTTTGGGTTTACTGTCCAATTAAGTTGCTAATCACTGAAGTGGCTCCTGTGGAGTCAGAATCAGTCATCTGTTTTCCGTGCCAGTCTACAGAAAGTCCAGTTATGCTCCACTGTGTTTTCATTGGCACGCTCGCTCATATGATGAACTCTGGTATTCCTGATCGTGAAGCCTTGCTTTGTGATGTACTCCATCAGATGGACTCTGAGCGACACTTCCTGGTGGTAATCGCATGGCCCAAAAGTGAAGGAAACCTGGCAGTCCCTGGTGTCCATCATATGCTTATTCCACTTCGTGAAGTGGTTTGAAATGCCTTCCAGTAACGAATGGACTTTTGTTGTGATAGTGAGCTGCGTGATGATTACAGCCACCGGGTTGGAGTACTTGGAAAGCTTCCGGGTGCTGGACAGCTCCACCACCTCCTCAAAGGTATCCACAGGATACAGCGGCTTGGGGTCGTTAAGACATTGAATTAGCGGTTCAATCTGATAGAAGTCCGCTTCCTTCCGCAGTAGGTCAAACTCCTTGAAGTCCAGTGGCAAAGTGAGCTCTGAGGTCCTTAAAAAGTTAAGAACATAACGGAAAAGTGGTCCATCTCTGTCAATAAAGTAATTGCCCTGAGAGTCCCTGGCAGTGGGGAAGTCTCCCCTGAACATGGCCCCAAGCATTGAGTCAGGATATCTCGTTAGAGTTGTGAGGGATGTCGTATACATGTGTCCACCCACATTTAGCGTGACTGGATCAGTCATCTAGAAAGAAAGAAATTGCAGAGTTTATCAAGCCACCGCAAGAAGATTTGATCACCTCACTGACACACATGGCAAATACTGTTTGAAAACCGCAGGCTCTGGAGAGAATCACACCTCTGCCATCTGAAGCCTATAAGCGGTGTTTAAACTTGAACAAATCCAAGCCACCTAGCAACAAGGCACAACCGGCAGCTAGACAGGATGATACTTAACATTCAGAATGCACATTTCCAGAACGCTTTAGACAACAACTGAGCTACTGTCACAGAAGCAAGTTTTGCATTTGGGCAACAAGTTTTTGCCTATTCCACAGATGGGGAAATGAGAACAGAAAGATTTCCTGAAGAACAAGTTAGTTTGAATGAGCCCCATCCGTGTTCCTTACTTTCACAATCTGTCTCTCATTCTAGAACAAAAAAAAAAAAACAGGAAAGAAAGAAAGAAAAAAAATAATCAGCTGAACAAGTCTTAAGCCTCTTTCTTGCCCTCAAAAGAGGATGACAGTGCAAGTTTAGACACAGGACCAAGAGCTTGCAATCAAAATAATCCACACTCTGGTTAAGAGGCATCATTAAGACAAGCAAACAGAAAAGAACTTTCAGCTTTTAACTCTAAAAGGAAATATTTATTAGCAAATTATCATGCTGTGTAGAAGAAGGGGACAGAGCACAAACCAGTCTGCATCAGCTTCCAGATAGCACATGAGGAAGCAAGAGAGAAAGGAACATAAATCCCATCTGGCCACCAACCCGAACAACCAGGACTGAGGCCAGCCAAAGAAGAGAGACATATGCATGGCAGCAGAATGTTTAGAGAAAGAAAAGAGAAGAAAAATAAGATGCATTTGTCTAGTCTGAGACCGGGTTTACAAGCAAAAATATTTTTCTTTATAAATTAAATTACAAAGCCCTTAAAATTATATGCAGGAAGCACAAACTATTTTCACCCTTTGTGTGTTAGGAAGACGGTAACAGTGAGCTTAAGGCATCAGTTAAGTACTCGCTGACTGTACCAAGGAAATATGAATCTGAGTGCTCCCCACAAACAGCATGCAAGGTGAAGCACTCCAGAGAGTGTAAGTAAGCTGTTGTAACATGCAGAGTTTTATTTCTCACATGACTGAAGCTCTGGATCTACACAAGACAGATCTGGAAGGATTCTTACTGCAAGACCTTGACAGCCCAGTTGTACCACGCAGCACACACTTACAGAGGCTCACTTACCATATATCCCCAGTCTCCATTATCCATCTGTTCAATTGCTTGAACTGTGGTATTCCAAGTTTAACAGAAGGCTGCTTAAAGGATACGCGATTCACCACCTATGATCTCCCTGCAGGAAAAAGCACACACAAAAAGACAAAACAGAGAACAAAACATGGCAGACCATCAGTACCTACAACAACCACCAAGGGGAATGCTTTCTAATCAAAGGCAGGCTCTGTGCCAGGAGAGCATTCAGCTACAAAGACACATTAGCAGGAGAATCTACAAATGCGCTTTTCCCTCCTTCTCCCTTCGTGCTACCCACAGGACTGTCTCCGGAGCACACGGGTAATCACTCCACCGGCTATCTGACCATCCCAGTTTTGTTAAACAAAAAGCAATGTGCCCCTGAGGATAATATATGTTCACAAATGGGACTACCTTTCACCTGGGAAACTGCGAGTACTTTGAAAGACAGATGTACTTTTCCCAATTTAAAAAGTTTGTTTAGCCACCATTGAGGTCATACATGTGATCCATTAATATTAGTCAAAATTTCCATGCTCCAGTTTCAAACTGTGCAGAAGAACAAATCCAAGCATGAAAGTCAACAAACAGTAAGAAAAAAAATCTCACTGCAGAATTAATAATTCAGTAGTGGAGAACTGCAACTGATAGCAAGAACATTAATCTACAAAGAGTATGAATGGACTTCACAGACACATACACACTCTCGAAAGAAATCTCTTTAGGGACAAGCCAGAGGACATCAGACATGTTTTCAACAATGCTCCAACAAAAGCAATTTGAGAAGCGGTTCATTTTGTAACTTCCCAGAAGCTGCTGAACTGCTGACTTGCATAACAAGGGGACTCTCTCCGCACAAGCACAGCAAGGGAAATTCACAGCCCAGTTATGCAACTCAAGTTGGGGGGAAGTGAATGACCCCAGACACCAGTGGAGATTTTCCAAAGGTGTCAACCATGTCACGCAATGAATGACTCTCTCCACACAAGCACAGCAAGGGAAATCCACAGCCCAGTTATGCAACTCAAGTTGGGAAGTGAATGACCCCAGACACCAGTGGAGATTTTCCAAAGGTGTCAACCATGTCAAGCAATGCATGGACAGGGAAGCCAGTCATCAGTGAGCCTTCATCCCTACCCAGAGCCTGCCTCTCTGCTAGCACTGCTGAAAATTTAGGTCAGTCTGTTTTAAGTAGGGTACAGTTTCTCAGCTTTGTTTATTTTTACTTCTTAAAGACCACACAGTTACCAAGACTTCTGCTCCCATCCTCTTTACTAGCAAACTTCAACATACAGTCACCCAGCTAAAAGCAGCACAAAGATTTAGCCAAGCCAGAACCCTACATTCCAAAACAACTGAAGGTTCACAGTTCCCCAACCAAAAAGATTACTTGCCCTTCTCCTTCCTAGCAAACGAGATTGGTCTCATTCACCACGGAACAAGGCAGCACATCCCACCTCTCCGGGCTCTGCTGCCCTGCCCAAACCCACAGCCTGGGCACAACAACATCCAGCAGGTCATGCCTTCAGGGGTCGGCAGCACAAGCACAGCCTCAGCTGCATCTCAGATGTATTAAAGAGTAGAAAAAACAAAATCAGTATATGAAAATCATGAGGTCAGACAACAGAAGACTAAGGAATACTAAGATACAGAACTAGTCATACCAGGATCTTATTTTTACAAACTAGAGATGGAGCATGCCTCAAGAAAGTACATTAAAGCACACCCCCCTGACAGCAGATAAACCTGGAATGCCAGCTCTTTTGCCAACCTCTGTAATTATTTTTTCTAACTGCTCACAAACCAAGAAGTGAATTCAGGTTTTCTTTATTTACAATTGTCATTCAAGTACAACTTGCTAACTTTTATCAATAGCCCAGACCTTTTAAATTCCAGCATTTACAGGTGTTCCTCTGTTTAAGTACAACACCAGTATGACATGTAGATGCACTAAAACCATGGGAGAGACTGGTACAGGTTTCTGATATTCAAGGAAAGCATTCACTTGAAAGTGAAATGATGCAGTCAGCCAGAAACTTCACTAGTAATCCATGATAGAAGAGATGTGCAGTCTTAATAAAATTAACTGGAATTATACAGTCAGAATATTTCGAAGACAGACAGATGTCCATCAGAGTTATTTTAACTGGTGGACAGATACTATGTTATTTTCGTCAGCATATATGTCCACACTACAGTTGAACCAAGACTTTCTTTATCAGGGAAAGAAACAGATGACACCGCCTGTCTGTATGAAGGCACAAACTAATCTTTGATCACTGGCAAAGGCAGTGCTGGAGTGAGATGCACAACACGAAGGAATGATGCTGGGAGGCCATCCTAAAATGGCTGAGTGTGATCACAACTACCCGCTGCTTCCCTCATCAGCCTGGGAGCTCTGAATTTCTAGACAACTTCACAGGCAGATAGAGCTCTGTTCAGGTACAACCTGAGATAAGGACTAGCAAACCACATTACAACAAGGGTGGGGACATACACCCTTCATGACATACACCCTTTCAACGATGCTTTAAATTCTTCCTGAATGAAATACAGTGATGCATCAGTAGGGGTGACATCAGTGAGCAGACACTCTCTACATCCATAACGTGGGATGGGCAGCCTCAAGCCAGCTCTTGTCCCTGTGTCACAGAACAACATACCCCACCCAAGGACAGCCTTGCTAACATGGCTATTCACGTCCAGACAGCAGATAACAGATGACATGCAGCTGTATCCCAAGACAGCCTACCATTAATAGCTGTAAGAAACACTCATTTAAGATGAAATTCAGCCAGACAAACTGCTGACACCATTTAAACCAAGCAGGATGTCATTCTTGGGTGAGAGCAGAAGAACATGAATTGTGTCAAACCACAGTCCTGCTTTCGTTAAGCTGCTTCTGCAAGCAAGGAGAAGATACACAGCGTTAACGTGGTCATCACAGCGGCTGCCATAGCCCAGAACCAAGCATCTCCAAAACCAGAAAGGCACAATAAGAAGTGAATATCTTTGAAGAAAAACACTCAAGTCATCCTTTTATACTTAATACACCAAACTGGACACCTGCATTTATCAAATGCTCACTCCTCTCATATATTATGACTCAGAGGATTACAAGACCATTTATCAGCCACACTACTGCAACAGGTAGCCCCATTAACTTCAGTGAGGCTTCTCGCAGAACAGAGCTGCTAACACGCAACCATTTTGCAAGCTGAAATTCAGAGACAGCAAATTAAGAGTCAGCTGAACATCTGCATCTGTGAACACACACACACACACACACGTGGGCTCAACACAGGCCAGGGGATGCCAGCAGCACTGCCAAGCATTTGCACTGCTGGGACCATGTGCATTGCATTTGGTCAAGGCCACAGGCTATACACCGCACCTGGAGAAAACCACTACACTGGTGTCATATGCAGCTACTCGAAAGACAAGCAGAAATGCACCTAAGAGTTAAAAGTCAAGAGGCACACGCCACCTGATTTGCTCTGAATGTTTTTCATCTAGTTTTTCCAACAAAAGAATTAAAGTATTTACTTGTGACATTAGTCTTTAATGAACAGTTTGGTATCAATATTACAACCCAAGCTGTTTAACCTCCACACAAACTGTTTAACCTCAATAGTTACCTTAGATTTCTAGGTCAATATAGAGCTGACGGGAATGCTACCAATGGGAACTTAAAAATTAAAAAGGGCAAAGCTAGGACTCTACTTATACAGATAAATATACTCGGTATTTCAAACTACTCACCCACTTAGTGAGTTCCCTGCCTCTCACATTTAGATCTCCAAAGATGAGAAGAGACTCCTGCCCTCAGCACAGTTACACAGTACATGGACAACATCTCATTCCCCAGCCAGTCATATCATTTGAAAGGCAAGTTTTTATTGTAAACCATTATCGGTGACTCACCTGAGCTGACAAAAACTAAGCTAGCACCAGCGATGACTGTACTCCACCAAACTGTACAGCAAGACATGAGTCCGCAAAGCGAACCCATGAGGCTCCAGCGCCGTGCTAACCTAACCAAGGGAGCGAGGGGGAGGCAAGCTCTTAAAACAACCAGTTACTGAATCTTCTGGTGCTTCAGTAGATCAGCTTCACTAAAGAAAGCATCCATCACCTTCTACCTATCTCAAGTTTATAATGAATAATACAGTTTATTAAAAATTAACTTAGTTCTTGCTTTTGTGTAGGTGCTTTTCAATGCTACTTAGTCTTTACCTCAGGCAGGATGGAAAAACACTCAGGCCAGCCACTCAGCATTTTCACTCCTTTATGTCTAATTGCTTCACTATAAATTCCAAGCTCCTCAAGTTTCCTTCCCTCCCAAGGAGCTCTATGACACCCTGCTTTAAGGCCAGGTTCCAAACTTTTATTTTGATTGCTACTTGTTTGAAGAGCCCACATCACAACATCACTTCGGCCCTCCTATCACAACAGCCAAAGGAAGACACTTCTATCTAGCCTGGTCCTGCTGGGTCTGTGCTGCTAAAGCAACCTAAGGTACCCAGGCTTTCAGCACCTAGGACACCAGTTGGGTTTTACCTATGTATTTTACTTCTGTGAAACTAACCCGTAGTTGTCTCCATGTGGAAACATGTCTCCAAACAGTTTTGAAGGAAGGCAGGCATCAGAAACATTGAGCATCCCTGCATACACCAATGGGGCTCAGCACATGCATGGACCAAGGAGTGACAACAAGACAGGGGCAGAAATCTTTCCTGCAAGCCCAGGCCACAGAGGGGCCCAGACCTGAAGCAGGAGCTGAGAAGTGCCGATTTCCATTGCAGAGAGACCAGCGAGCTCATGGTAGAAGAACTCTCCCCAGGATCACAATGATTCAGCAAAGATGCTGGAAATGAACCCAGACATTTTGCCTCCCCCCACCTCTGCAAATGACCCAAGAGCACACCCTCACTCCCACCCCAAACGACAGTCCCAGCTCTGCCTTCTCTCACCGGTGGAGCAGGAGGACCCACTCTCGCCTCCCAGGGGGGGACAGGGCCCACATGTCCCAGACCCTCCCTGCCAGAAATCACCGCCGGGCACCCCAGCATCCTCCCGGCTCCTTCCCCCAGCCCAAC